CCTGTGTCAACATTATAAATATCTAAACCTACAAGAATTTTTATGACTTTATTTGAGCCAAACTGATGACAACTGCCAGGAAGCAAAACTTCAATGGATTGAGAAACTGCCCCAGAAATGGCAGTTTTGCACCTTATTTTATAACATTACAATCGAAAGGAGGCATAAGTGGGTTACATGAAATCCATTGGTGATAGATTAGGGAAGCGGGAGAAAGCAAAGCGGGGCGCGGGGAGGGGGGACCTCTGCAATTGGGGAAAAAGTAAAATGATTGGCACATCTTTTAAATGGGTAGAGGATAGTTAACAGCCAACAATTAACACGATAGCAAGAACGGGATTTGTTGTCTCTGCTCTGGTGCAGATGTTGTGTTGAGAGATGGTGTGGTGGGGGAGGAAATTACTTTGATATTTCAAAAGCTTGTTTATCAGGTATGCTATCCTAGATGCAAAAGGCAAGAGACAGGCTCAGTTCAAGTGAAGAGTGCGTGTGTGTGCGTGCTCACGTGTGTGTGTTTTCACTTGAAGATTGACCTTTGTTTGAGGAAAAATACTGCCCTAGGACAAGACTATGCACCATGAACTGCTTTTGTTCAAAAGTTTTGATTTTAGACCACCCTATGTGGTTACTTCAGCTTTCTGAGTTGGTAAGGCCGCCTCCGCTATGCAGGCCTCCCCTGAGCTAGTTAGACCATGTGGCCTCTTTTCGTCCACGCCTCGAAAAATAGAGATTCCTGTGGCTCCATAGCCCAGTGGGTCTCAAAGTGCAGTCCCTGTACCATCAGTATGAGCCTCACCTGGGAACTTGTTAGAAATGTAAATTCTCAGATCTCACCTACTAAACCAAAATTGCTGGGGTTGGGGCCCAGCAAACAGGTTTAAACAAGCACCCTGGGTGGTTCTGGTGTAGGTAAAGTTTGAGACTCATTGCCGTAGTCTAACTCTATTACAGGTGCAACATTGCATGAAGCATAATTTTCGATAGTTACACTGAGACTTTTAACATGCATGTGAGTTGATTCTCCAATTTGCATGTGGGGCGGGGGGTGGGGGGAGGCTCTGAATTTGGCTATTTTTATCAAGTATATTTAAATTCTTAATCTGTCTTTAACTTGCTCTGCTACCTTGGGCAAATCACTTCTTATATCTGACTAAATCATCCCAGTCCCATACAATAAAGGAGTGTTTAAAATAAAGGAGCGCCTGGGAGCTTTCTTGTAATCTTCCCAGCGCTAAACTTCCATGCTATGCTTTCCACATCCATATTGATTCATAATCAAGTTGTCATTAGAATAGCAAGGCGAGATTAAGGAAAGGTTAATTTACCAAATAGACTAGACTAAACAGAGTAAGTCGGGCAAATATAAGAAGACCAAGAAGTGTGACTACAAAAAAAAAAAAAAAGATTCTCTAGGGAAATGCAGTCTTCCTTTTTATATAAATTCTTTTTTTTGTCAATTAACAGAGAACAGGAAAAGCCAGAAGAGAAGTAAATAGGGATTAACATTAATTTCTTGCTCTACCAGTTAGAAATTACAGTGAGCTTGAGATGATTCAAGCTACTTAAGTCATTTGCATGAAAGACCTTGATATTCACCTCTGGTTTTCTTTGGCGGAGACAGACTTGCCAGTGAGAACACATCTTGCCTTTCATGATTGACCATGCTGCTTGTAGAGTGATTTCACAGGCATTATGTCAGGTTAACCCATCCGCATCAGAGACATTTTCCCTGTTTTACCATTGAGCCAGAGGAAGCCAGGGGAGGAAATGAGTTACTTAAGGTCAGGAAGATTAAGTGTGGAATGGCAAGGCCAAGATCAGACCAAGGTCCTTAGCTTTCCAATCCAGTGTTTCTTCCAGTGCTTTGCCTTCAGATCAGGGGTGGGTGGCGGGGAGATCAAGGTGGACCAGCATCGTACTTTCTTCCTCTTTATCCATTTTCCTTCCTAATTTCCCTCAGCTTCCATTCCCTCAGGCTGCCGGAAAAGTGCAGTAGGCTTGATGTTAGGAGATCAAAATTCTAGTTCTGGTCCTGCCACAAAGGCCTGGCTGGTCTTAAACAAGTCACCTGGGCTCTCTGGCCTCAGGTGTCCTATTGACACCTCCAACTCTGTCTCAATGGTAGCATTATAAATGAAGTCAGAATGGCCATTGGCTGATTTTTACATTTATTTAAATTTGAATTTTCAGGCTGAAGATGTGGCTTGAAGTAATGAGAAAGAGCAGACAAATGAGAATAATTCCAAACAGAAAAGAGAAAAATGGGTTTATGAGAGTCAGAGTAAATATTTAGGGTGTGGGGTTGAGATAGGCTGAGTTAGACTCTTCCCATTTAGGACCCTTCCCTTTGACCATCCCTAATCTCTAAAAGGAAGCTTAGGGGTATGTGATTCCTGAAATCTCAAATAATACTTGGCCTGTGGGTTTTGTTTTCGTGAAAGATACGAACATGTGGAATACGGACTGTTGTGAGGACCACAGGATCGATATATTTGAGAATCTCTCATGTACATCTAGCCCTACTTATTCTGAAATGTCAGAATTCTGATCCCACTCTACTGCCAAATAAATAATTTGCTGTCCTGTTAGAATCTGAGAGTCAAGAGTGTGTGAAAGTTCAGACATGGTCAGGAGTTTTTCTTTCTTCAATGAAATCAATGTCGTGGGTTAGGTGGCTTTCTAGCATCTCAGAAATCCTTATCTACATCATTCAATGAATGCCTTTCATGGTGTTTAGAGGCACATTAGCCTAGCTCCTTTACATGTCCGTATGCCTGTGTTTTTTCCTCTTCCAGGAAATTCAGAAATACTGATTCATCTGTATCCCTGTCCTAAAGCAAGCCATTTTATCAGTAGTTATCAAATGCAGCATCTCCATAAGCAGGCCTCATCTGGAACACCAGAATCTGATTTCTAAACAAAGCCTAGGAAAATTTACTTCAGGGCGAGTGTAGTAAAACTATTAACTCGGAGATGGACAAGTGAGGTAGCATAGAGAGTAAGGCTAGAGGGGAAAAAGAACTGATGTTTCAGAACACGGAAAGATTGGGGGAAGGGATGGAAAAAAGGGAGAGAGTGGCAATAGCAGAGTGCTTTCAAAATCAGTAGAAAGCACGGTGGTTTAGAAAATCAACTTAGTGGTTTTCAACCAGCATTTTTAAAAAATGCTAAACAATAGAGTAAAACAATGTAAAATGCATAGCACAGAAGAATAAATATTGTTTTGCAAACATTTTTAATACATGTCAATGAAGAGGTTCAGCACAGTCTTCCCCCAGGTGTGACACTTTCACATGTGAATTGCTTTTCTTTATTTTTAATTGAAAAAATGTTTTGTTCATTAAACTTTACTTATTTTGATATAGGTGTAGGTGGTATACAATATCATATTAGTTTCAGGTGTACAATATAGTGATTTGACATTTATATACCTTACAATGTGATCAGCCCACTAAGTCTAGTAATCATCTATCACTGCGCAAATTTATCACAATATTACTGATTATATTCCTCTTAACCTTCCTCACCCATCCCTCCACCCCCGCTTTCATCCTATCTGTCAACCATCAATTTTATCTCTGTTTCTATGAGTGTGGTTTTGTTTTGTTTGTTCTTTTTTTTTTTAGACTCCACATATAAGTGAAACCATGTGGTATTTGTCTTCCCTTGACATGTGAATTATTTTTGGTTGAAGGCAACGGTGACCCTGCTTGCTCAGGAGAAACATTTACCTCTCCCTTAAATAATGCAAATTGGGGGTTTTGCCCCTTATGAGTTATCAGAAATTACTTTTTATGACCTATCTATAGGACAGGGCAAACTTCTAACTACGCAACATCTGCTCTTCGTATCATCCTGAGAAGGACCTTCCTCCCCTCTGAAGCCTCAAGGTGCCTCACCTCAAACTTAACCCAGAATGCCATATAGACCTCATTTTCCCTTTCTGTCTCTGAACCTCTGGTGCATGTGGAGTTCCTATCAATACGCATGCATTTAAATTTGGTTATTTTCTCTTGTTATTCTGTCTCTTGCGGATTTTATTATTAGACCAGCTGAAGGAACCTAGAAGGATATAGAAAAGTTTCTTCCTCCTTCACATAAATATATAAGATGTATTTTTGTATATGTAACTGTAAAATATATTATAAATGAACGTGGACACATGTCTGGGGCTCATTTATAAACTACTTCCTACAGTAAGTCTTGGTCGGAAGTTTGAAAGCTCCTGAAACAGAGGACCAGAAAGCGTCCTGGCAAGGTAAATTCAAGGTCAAATTTCTCTCCCTTTGCCGACCAAAGTAGTTAAAGGAGGGAGAGGAATGACGTGTGAGAGGTCACCAGAGTGAAGTCAAAAGAGAAGGAAGGGCGGGGACAACGGGACAGGGAGGTGCTTTCTGCCTTGAGAGTCGATCGAGGGACCTGGGGAGGTTAATTTTGAGTGCTTCCTTTAAATGGTAAGTCAAGAATTTCCGCGATCCTTGTCCCTGAAAAGCCAACAAAGGTGAGGGATTCGAGTTGCCTCTGGAGGTGACACTACTTGGGGTCAGTCCCTGTAGATGGGATTATCATCTTTACCCCCGGCGAAGAGCGGGTAAGGTGGGCGGGGCATCAGGAGCGCGGGAATGCCGGCCGCTCGTTCAGGTCCAAAGAGCAATTCACTCCGCACAGAGCACAGATACTCAGAGGAACAAGCAGTTCTGCACTTTGGGACCCATCCGCAGGCAGCAGGCCCAGTGCACGGAAGGCGCTGGTGGGGCTGTGCCCTTGCCGCGGGCTAGCGGCCCTCCCTGCCAATAGGCAGGACCCGCCTCCGCTCCCGGCCCTGCAGCAGGTTGGCTCCGCTGCCGCCGCCGGGTCCCACGTGATCTACCGCGCGGGCCACCGCCTCCGCCGCGCCCAGGCCCCGCCTCCGTGACGTCCCAGAGCCCTCCGATTGTCCGGACGTTCAGTGTCTTTCTGCGTTTGCCAATTGGTTGGTCTCCCAGACAGCGCCCCTGCCGCCACGCCTCTGGAGTCCTGGGGAACGCGGTTGGGGACGGGCTTGGGCCGGAGGGGCGGAGTGAGTAGACTCGCGCGGGTAAAGGGGCTGTCTGGAGCACCGACTGATCATTTTGCGGTCACACGCCGCCTTCCCCTCCTCCGCTGGCCGCCGTCACCTGGGAAACCGGCCACGATCTCCAGCCTACCCGAAGCTGGTTTCATGGCAGCCGCGAAGAAAGCAGTTTTGGGGCCGTTGGTGGGGGCAGTGGACCAGGGCACCAGCTCGACGCGCTTTTTGGTGAGCCCGGGTGACATTTGAGGAGCTGAGCCGGGGCGGGAGCCCCGGGACGCCGGCGCTGGGTGTCACGTCCCCATCCCGCGCCTCCCTCGGGCCCCCGGACTCCCTGCCTCTAGGCAAGGGAAGGAGGCCAAGGCCCCCACAGCAGGACCTGCCACGCTGGGGCTGCCCCGCTGGGCCTGGGAACCTCGGCTTCTTGAGACCCCGGCGGCCGAGCTGAGCAGCCCTCGGTGGTGGAGCGGGGTCACCTACTAATGGGGGACTCCTCCCCAAAAGGAACTAGGAATCAGCGAGCATCCGTGCGGAGCCGTCCGCCTGCAGCCAGGGACAGGTGGTCACATTGACCGCTGCTGCGGTCTTCCCCTAGAGCATTTGGCCTGCGGGGCGCAGGACGTCCTTGGATGGGGGGAAAGCTGTGTCACGGCTGTGAGAGCCTAACAGAACGTCCTTTGGAGAGGTAGAACAAATATAGTATTAGGGTGATGATGCGTTGTCATCCTCTCTTACAGAAATTGTAGACGGTAGAATGCTACGGGGGAGCCGGGGGGAGGCGCTGAACACATTAGGAAAAAGACTGTACCATTGCCTTTATCAGAATCTTTACTTAATTTTAGACTCGCAAATTTCAGTTCTGATACTTTGCCTATTACAAACGCTTCATGCTCCACAGTGTAAAATGACAAGGAAATTCTATTTCTCTTTTTATTTACCGTTCCAGAGTGCTATTTAAGCGACTGCTATTTAAGTGACTGCTAGGCACCTTTACTCTTAAACTGATCGATCTAGTTCTGAGTTCAGTAAGATAATTTTAAAGTAATTTAACTAAACGGTTGTTGGTTAGGAACCCATGCTTTAACGGACAGTGAACTAACCTCACAAGTTGATGTAAATGTTTAATAATTATTTAGCTCCATCTTCATTACTTTACCTCCAATCATATTTTCGTGCATTATTTAGTATCTATATGTATGTGGATGTATACTATGTGTATACCTTATACATATAATGTACATGTTTTTCCAAACTTCTGTTTAGCTGACCACTTGACTAAAACCTTCATTTGCACCTTCCTTTTGATACTGCACCCATTTCTACGCTTGCAGTGCAGTTTTAGTTTGAACCTTACTTCATGACTTACCTTACTTTGAGCTGCCAAGACGTAGTTCTACAATCTCTTACATTGTTTATCTTTTGATCACCAGGGCAGGTTTCACTTTGTCTTATTTTCATAAATGTTTATAAAGTAATCCTGAATCATAAGTAAGAATGTTTGCCTAACTAGATTTGATTAATATATAGTCATCATTGTGTATTTAAAATGAAGAAAGGGCCATTAAGACACCCAATTGCTAACTAACTTGTGGGTTGAGTTTTGAAGCCATATTCAAGAATTGCCCACGCAAATTCCTGCAGGGGCCAAGCAGGTAGAGTTCACTGGGCGCACTGGAGGGAGCAGACCCAGGCCAGTGGAACAGTCTATAGTTGCCAAGCCGGAACACAAGGGCAGTGTTGCCAGATCTTCCAATTCTGTAAGAAAAGGTGATCATCTTGAGTTTTCAATGAAATCTTCCTGCTCATGAATATTGGCAACTACTTCGTAAAGCACCTTGGGGGCCAAATCAAACATGGTGATTGTTTTCAAGTTTATACAGCTATTGCCTTCTATGAAAGCCCGTAAAATATTTTATAGCCTTATAGGCTTTTTAGGAGCCAGCCTAACTGTGCGTGTCTTCCTTTTGACTCTTCCCTCTTGCTCTCCACGTGGCCCTGCAATCTTCTTTATCCACTGCAGGTTGTTCCTGGTCCCTCACATTCTGTCGCCTAAGAGACGTCCATGAGCCTTTGAAAGTTGGTTTCTGTTTATTGGGCTCTGTATGGCATGATCTCGATGAGTAAGCTAAGGTGCAAGTTCAGGAGATTCCCATCCTGCTTAAAAGTATGATGTGTAAAAGTTGATCAATAAAATTTTCTGCTCCTTAAGAAACAACTAAAGAAAGAATGCTTCACAGGTAAATAAAGGACGTGGGGATCCTTTACAAAGTGAAGAAAATCTTAAGAATGGTTTAGCAAAGTCTTTTTTCCTATGGTTATAAGGGAAGAGCTTGTTAAACCACTCCCTGCAAAATGCAGATAATAGATTTGCTGAATAAGTCCTTCACTCCCAAGGTGATTCCCAGGAGTCATTCCAGTGATACCGTTCCACGTTGTAATTATGACTCAAAAATAATTGCTCGCTTTCTCACAAAGACTACAGTAGATAAGAACTGTCATAAGGAAGTGTATAAAGTTAAAGGTATTGAAATAATTTCCTGGACATTGCTCATTCAATTTGCATATCCAGTTCAACTTTCACGAGACCAATAACCTCTCCAAGCTTCTCACCTTTGTCTCATAAAGAACACAAGTTTTCTTTTATTCATGGTCTTTCATCCGATGGAAATGCTTCCGCCCTATGCCTCCTACCTTCTTGAAATTCTACTGTGCCTCCAAATAGTGGCTCAACTACCATCTCTCTTTAGTCTTCCTAAACCTGTTAGTCAGAATTTCTCCCCCTTTCTATAGCACTTTTCGTATGTCTCTTAGTAGCTCTTAATACTTGCTTCGTGTTATAATTCTTTATCTGCTGTACTTGAGAGCAGGGAACTCCTTTTAAGTCTAGTTCATCTTTGTATTCTTTAAAATGTCTTGGTCAACACAACAAATAAACACTTGTCTACAAGGAGCACTTTTTTAAGAAAGATTTTATTTATTCTTAGAGAGAGGGAAAGGGAGGGAGAAAGAGGGAGAGAAACATCAGTGTGTGGTTCTGTCATGCACCCCCTACTGAGGACCTGGCCTGCACCCCAGGCATGTGCCCTCACTGAGAATCGAACCCTTTGTGACCCTTTGGTTCGCAGGCTGGTGCTCAATCCACTGAACCACGCCAGCCAGGGCAGGGAGCACTTTTTTAAAAAAAATTTTTAATTATGTATTTACTTATTTTTAGAGAGCGGAGAAAGGAGGGAGAGAATGAAACATCAATGTGCTAGGGAAACATTGATTGGTTGCCTCATATATCCCCAGTTCGCCCCCAGTGGGAGACTTGGCCCACAACCCAGGCTTGTGCCCTGACCAGGAATCGAACTGGTGACCTTTGAGTTCACAGTCTCATGCTCAATCCACTGAGCCACACTAGCCAGGGCTATACAGGGAGCACTTAATACATATTGAATAGATTTTATTTCTCTTTAGTAGGTCAGCTTAATTTTAACTCTGGTTATCTTATTTTACCTAGTCAAAAAATCTTGCCCTGGCTGGTGTGCCTCAGTGGACTGAGCACCAGACTGCGAACCAAAGGGTTGCAGGTTTGATTCCCAGTCAGGGCACATGCCTGGGTTGCAGGCCAAGTCTCCAGGGTGGGGCACATGCGCAAGAGGCAACCGCACATTGATATTTCTCTCCCTCCCTTTCTCTAAAATAAATAAATAAAATCTTTTAAAAATTAAAAAAAAAGAAAAAAATCTTAAAACTTTCTTACTTAGATATGTTTGATTACTTAATTTCTTCTATTTTAGTAGTAGATCTGCAACTTTAGAACATAGTTCATTTCTTCCTGCACTTGTCAAAGAGTTACTCTTGGCAGCCTATGAATGAATATGCTTTGTACTAAAGGAAAATTTCCAACTTGTCCCATAGGAAAGTGAACTGCAGTTGGCACATGGTTACTCAGATTACAGAGCAACAACTTCTTGGAAAGATAATTACTGTAACAGGTTTTAAGGAGGGGCCATTTCTTTATAAGACAATAGTTGCAGCTTAAACAGTCAACTTCCTCCTGTCATTTGGTAACTGTTTTTCCCCCATTAAGTTGAATGTTAAAGAAAAAAAGAGGCTTAGAATGTGTTGCAATTGGAAATGTATGAGGTATTATGGAAAGGACTTTTCCAGCATTATCTCATTTAACCCTTGGAACAACTGTGACGCTGGTAGTATTATGAAGCTCCTTTACACAGGTAATTAGTCCCCGCTGGGGACTGTGCCCAAGGTCGCAGAGTAACTGGTGGAAACAGGATTCAAGTCCAGGTCTGGAGCACTGAGAAGCCTGTCATGACCCCTTGCCGTGGCTCCCTGACTACCCGGAGTACGTTGAAGGGAAGATGGGAGGCTGGAAACGGCCACTTACCACCTATCACTCAAGTGTCAGTTCTAGCTATGGTCATGAATGAATCTTCAGCAAGAAAAATATACTTAAAGCTTGGTTTTGCAATACATGAAAAATTTTGCCTTTGAATAAGTACTGATGATTTGATCATCTTGTGACTTGGGCAGGTCCTGGGCTGGGCTCAGGTGTAGTCATTGTGGATAATGGTTGTGTAACCATTTCGTTCCACTAGCCAACATCTATGAAGAATGAGTAGAACTGTAGTTCCGTGCTTGTCTTGGCAGGAAACATTGCCTTGGCCCCAGTTTTCTCATTATACTTGGAGATCTCATAAGGCTCATGGACAGATTTCGACTTTCTTTCATTTCTTTATTCAACACATTTATTAAGCACCCATTAGGGGCCAGGGACTCATGAACAGTAAATTTGGTAAAACTAATTTGATTCATTGCTGGAATGAGACCACTCTGTGACTATAGTTGTGATTCTATAGAGGATTTTTTCACCTCTAAGTTGGCTTGTTTTCTTGCCCATTCCATTACACAAATAGCAAGAGCACGCTCTCACCAGAGACTGGCCACCCTCTTTTGTCCTCTTTCAATTTTGAGCTCCTTGAGGAACAGAATGATGTCTTCTCTCTCCCCCAAAGCCTAATACAGCATCTGGCATGTGGTAGGTGCTCATCACATGAACAGACCTTCAAAGAGAGGGTCCTTACCGGGCTCAGAGGTGTTGGCTACAACTCCTGTACTGGGAGACTAGGAAGGTGAACCTTGTGGGGTCTTGGGAAGAGCGAAACTCTGCAACTATAGATGTATTAGATGTATGTCTGAGCTATTTGATACAATTTCATTTTGAA